AGATAGTATACTACCTAAGATTTTATAAGAAATAATATTTAATAATATAATATAAGATATTATAAGGCTATTTATAAAAGATAAGTTATTATATATTAACCCTAAAGATAATAAATAACTATTTAATAAGATATAAGGTAATAAGTTACTTAAGACTAGGTTTACCTTACCTAATAAGATAACTATACTAAAGTTATACCCTTATATTACCTACTCTTATAATAAGGCTATTAGTAAATTTACTAAACTTATCTTATTTTTTATTTATATTATATATAACTAGCTAACTAGAGGTACTAAGCTCCTTAATATTAAGTATATTAACTTAGCTAATAAAGGACTATATAATACTTTCTTTAAATATAATAATATTATTATTATTATTATACTATATAAGGGCTATAGCTACTTAGCTAAGGAGAAGGTTATATACTATTTCTTACTTTACCTAGTTAAGGAGCTCCTTATCTACTACCTATAACTTATATTACTATTCTAGTAAGCTCTTTTATATAATATCTAAGAGATAAAGTAACTATCTAACTTTATATAGCCTACTATTATTAATAAAGATAATAATATTAATAATAAACTAAAGTAAAATATTATATAGCTTAATATTAATAAATATAATAGTAACTCTAATAATAACCTATAACTAACCCTAACACCTACCTAATAAAGAACCTAATATATATAAATAGTCTATAATAGACTAGTTAAGCTCTAAGACTCCCTTAAGATTACTTATATACTTAAGAAAAAGAGTAATACTAGTTATAATAACACCTTTATACTTAGCTTATAATATTATATTACTAAGTATATTAACTATTAGTACCTATATAACTTTACTTTAAGTAATTATAAGGTAGCTAAAGATAATAATAGCTTAAAAGAGGAGGATAACTTACTTAACCTATAGTTAATATATATATTTAAGATAATAAGTAATATCTATAGCTAGTTTATTAATAAAGGGAGCTTTAAGAATATAAAGTAATATACCTTATTTTATTAGGCTAGTACCTAATAGTATAGGCTACTTAGATTTAAATAAAAGCCCCTTAGTATTAGTAGGAAATGCCTAAAGGACTATATATATAATAGCCTTATCTAGGCTACCTAAGAATATTATATTACCTAGCTTAAGCTTATAAACCTTATAAAAGTAATATAGTAGCTAATAGGTATATAGGCTATACTTTATCTATAATAAGAGACTATACTTAGGGATATTATAGCTAATACTAGCCTTATCTTAGTTATTATAAGTACTAGTATTAATAAGAGTATACTATTTATATTACTAGTGTCTATCCTTATTAGTAATATTATTATTATTATTATATTACTTATTATACTCTTTAGAGACCTTATTACCTAGTATATTATAATAGGTATTAATATAATAAAGTAATAGATAGGTATTATTTATATTAGTATCTAGCTTATATTTATTATACCTAAGTTAGTAACTATTAAGTTATTTTAAGATTATATAAACTAGCTTATAAATATTACTATATTAGATAAGATTATAGTTAATAAGTATTACTATATACTAGAGAGTATATCTATATTTAGGCCTAAGATAGTAAAGCTTAGGTAAATAGCTATACTTAGTATTTAGCTTATATTCCTAACTACTATACTCCCTCTAGACTACTTTAATATCTTCTTAGATATTATATATATTAGATTATATAATATAACTATATATTAATTTAATACTATTTATTTATTATATATATTATAGGTCTAGTTTAATATATATAAGCTAGGTATAGACTATATTTAGTATATTAGGTAGTAGATATATTATATTATTATAATACTTTATAAGCTAAGAAGTAAGTTTATTATATATTATTACTCTTAGGCTAATATTAACTAACTAGCTATCCTCCTTAGCTTATATATATACTATAATAATATAAGTAGCTATAATAATAAGGCATATATATTAAAGTAGTAGGTATAAGGGCGTAATAAGGTCCTTAACCTATTTATAGATATTATTATAATAACTAATATACTAGGTTTAGGGATTAATATACCTAATATTTATATTATATTTTATATAAATATATTATACTTATTCCTTAACTATATATAGTAGATTAGCTAGGCTAGTTAAGGTATACTAGAAATATTTACCCTCCTAATTATAGCCTAACCTATATAATATAATAATAATATTATAACCTATTACCTTTATTATATAAGGTATTACTAACGTTTTCTTAGTATATTTATAAATAATAAGTTATAAGTATATAACTATAAAGATAAAATATAATTATATAATAACTACTTATAGGAGGATATAAGTTTTTTATTATATAACTTAATTATTATTAAGCTCTTATTATTATAAAAGTATAAAAACTAGCCTAAGGTTAAGGTACTAGTAATATAAGAGACTAATAATATAATATATACTATATACTAGGTAATAACTAACTATATAATATCTAAGATATTACTTATAGCTATAAAGGTAGGTAAGGTTATTACCTTAGCTAAGATCTTATAGTTTATTAACTACTATACTATATATTTTATTTAATAGTTTAAGTATAGCCTTAAGCCTAACTACCTAATATACTAATATATTAACCTAGATATATATAAGCTATATAAGGAATATAAGATACTAGTAAATATTATTATAGCTTAGATAAAATATATATTATACCTAAGTTATATAAAGTATATACTTCCTTATAAATAATATTCTATATACTATAAGGACTTAAATAAGATATAGGTTAAATTAGTATATTACCTAAATAACTAGCTTATATATTCCCTTATTATAATATCTTATATTAAGATAGGTTAGCTTAATATATAAGTAAAATAAGCTAATACACTAGCTAATATAAAAGCTAATATTATTAAGCTAAGGGGGTAGCTAGCTAAGTAGTTACTATAATAGTAGGTAAAGGCTAGTAACCTATATAAGGTAACTATATTTACCTTAGAGGCCTTCCTTAAGATAGATAATTATATAGAAAATAGGAAGAAGGTAGATAAGGAGATAGTAGATAAGGAGATAGTAGATAAGGAGATAAAGGGGGAGGACTAAAATAAAATAAGACTTACTAAATAAACCTACTAATAACTAATATAATAGGGTTTATAAAATTAAATACTAATAAGATAAAAAAAATATACTTAATTTCTAAGTAAAACTATATAATGTACCTAAACTATTACTATTATTAAACTAATATAATATTTACTAATATTTAATATTAATAATATAATATGTATAATCTACTTATTATAAATTAGGGTTAAGGGTTAGGGTTA